CACACACACACACACACACACACACACCTTTCCCCAGATCTGGATGTGAGCATACTCAGTTTTAAAATAAGAATCTCTAACATTAATTGGCCTCTAGACTTGGGAGTGGGGGGTGGGGGGGTGCCTGTGGGTTGGGCGCTGGGCTGCTAACTGCCAAGTTGGTCCTGCAAACTCATCAGCCCCTCCAAGGGGGAGATGGATGAGACTGTCTGTCCCAAGTCTTGGAAACACTTTCTATGGTTGCTGTACATGGACTCCAGGGCAGTGGGTTTGGTTTGGGTTTTTAAGACTTGGTGCTAAGTCATTTACATACATTACCTCATTGAATTTCCCAGCGCTAGAGATAAATCGGAAGGTCACATTGGCTGAGCAACTTCCTCAGGTTCACACAGCTCGCAAATGCCCAAGGCAGGACTTAATCCGTATCTGGTAACCAGCCTTATTGCTTCAAGGAAGCCCGAGGAAGATCCTATGGGTTTCCATATATTTCCCCATAAAACTTAATCTCCATCTAAAGCGAGGGCAGTAAATAGCCATTCTAAGGGTGTCATTTAGTGGCACCAGAACACTTATGTTAAAATCAGCTCAATCACTCTGAACCACTCCAAGCCTCAACTTCTCTTTCGATCTGGCAGTCAGTGGGAATGGTAAGAGTGCTTGCGGTGTTACACACAGTGTTGATGTGCAGTTGCTTATATGGAATCATTTAAGCCTCTGTTTGTTTACAGCTTGTAAAAAGCTTCAACTCCCCTCACGCCACGGGGAGCCAACTAATGCACAGAGAAGCTCAATCATCTTGCCTGAGACCCAGCAGCAAAGCCAAGAGATGGCCTCAGCCCTGGTGGTGGAATGGTTAACTACTGGTGGATAATGGAAAGGACGGAGCGTCAAACTCCGCAGCCACTCTGTAGGGAGAAAAGACCTGGTGATCTACTCCTATAAAGATGACACTCCAGAGAGCCCAAACTGGCAGTTCTCCTGTGTCCAAAAGAGTGCGTGAATCAGAATGGGCTTAACAACACCTAATCACAGCATCAATCTGCCCTCGGCTCAGAGTTTCCAAGCGCTTGGTTATAAAACTTTACACGTCCTAAAGAATTGATCGGAGTGTTCAGGGAGATGATCTATTAAATAACACATCACTTCTAACAACCTGGCATTCTGTGATGCTCACCCTCTTGATACAATCCCTGAAGACAAAATGGGTGCATAAGCAAATGTGGTGAAGAAACCTGATGGTGCATGACTATAAAAAAATATAGCATCTGGCGTCTTAAAGGCTCGAAGTTAAACAAGTGGCCATCTAGCAGAGAAGTAACAAGCCCACATGGAAAAAGCACACCAACCTGTGTGATCATGACGTGTCAACAGAATCCAGTCACAGGCACCAGAAGATGCCCCCCCCCCCAAAAAAAACCATATTGTTGAGAATGAGGGGGGGTGAAGCAGAGACCCCAAACCCATCTGTAGACAATAGGGCATCCTCTCACAGAAGGGTCAATCAGGGCACAGTACAGCACTGATGAAGCACATAATATTCCTCTAATTCCTTGAGACTTCCTCACCCCCCACTATCATGATCCCAATCCTGCCTTTCAGTTCTGGCTAGACCTGAGCATCCATACTAGGCACATGGAATCCTGGTCAGATAAACCCCTCAGGAACAGAAATAGGAGTAGTGATACCAGGAGGGGAATAGGAAGTGGGGGGTGGGGAGGAAGGGAGGAATGGGGAACCAATCGCAATGATTGACACAAACACCCCTACCCTCCACCCCCCCCACAGAAACATGAGTGAAGAGAGATAATAGTCGGTGTAAGATATGAAAATAATTTATAATTTATCAAGGAGTCACGAGGGTGGGAGTGGGGGCAGAGAGAGAAAAAAGAGGAGCTGATACTAAGGTCTCAAATAGAAAATAAATGTTTAGAAAATGATGATGGCAACATATGTACAACTGTGCTTGATACAATTGATGTGTGGATTGTTATAAGAGTTATAAGAGCCCCCGAATAAAATGTTTAAAAACAAATAAATGAATAAATAAATAACACGTCGATGAAATCAGTGTGCATTTACCCTTAGCAGGCACCGTGCTCTGTTTTAAGCAGCAATAAGGGTTCAGCTAGTTAAAGTGTGTAGCCGCTGAGCACAAAATGGGAGACTCAAGTCTACCCAGGAGCATCTCGAAGAAAGGCCTGGTGATCTCTACTTCCCCAAACCAGCTGTCGAAAAGCCTACAGAGCTGCCTCTCCTCTGACTCCCGAGTTTCCAGGGCCGGGACTGACCCAGTGGCTACTGGTAATCTTTGTACACATATGGGCTCATTAGAATTGGCATCCATCAACCCCAACAATGAGAATGCTGCTCAAGTGGCCTCCCTACCTGATCGTCCTAGGAAATATAAGTCAAGCACACTTTGCAACCAAGACCCCGAACCCATTAAACCCACTGCCGTTGAGTTCATGCCGATATCCAGGGACCCTAGAGGAATAGAGTAGTAGAACCGCACCATAGGGGAGAAGCAACTTCATCTTTCTCCTGCAGTGCAGTTGGTGGGTTTGAACTGCTGACCTTGAGGTTAGCGCCCAAATGCTTAACTCCCAATGCCGCCAGGACTCCTTCCTCCAAAGACCAAACCCACTGCCACTGAGCCGACTGTGCCTCACACCAAGCCTGTGGGACAGAGTAGACTTGCTCTCTGGGATGCCCAAGACTGTCCGTCTTTGTGGGGGCAAGTGGCCTCATCTGTCCCCCGAGGATGGGCTGGGGGCTTTGTTCTTCCAAACTTTCGGTTAGCAGCCCAATGCCATCAGGTCTCCCTTCCTGGATGATCGTGGTTCTCCGAGCTGGCCGCACGTAAGAACCACGTGGAATGCTTTGAAAGCACAGCAGACTCAGCACCTACCTGAGACGCTGATTTCATTGGTCTGCCTGGGGACTGGGCAGCAGTCCCATTTAAAAGCCCCCACGTGATTTACATGGACGCCAGGGTTCAAACCCACACAGTGCTTCATGGGGGCATGCGCTACACTGAGAGGAAATACCTGAGCTTCCTAGGACCTCCAGGAAGAGTCTCCCGTGGTAAATCCCATCGGGGAAGGTATAATAGATGCAGGCGTATTCCCCAGTGTCGTTGCAGGTCAGCCGCTGGAGCGTGAGGCCCAGGCCGGGACCCGGAACCACTTGTTTCCTAAAGTCTGGGGTGATGTACCACCCATAGTCATTGTGGTGGATGGCCAGAGTTTGGTACGGACGTGCCCAGTTGACCTGCGTCACTTCGGCCGCGGTGTGTGAGAGGTGACATTGTAAGGTGACCGAACCACTTTCCACTGCAGAAACGTTTCCAGGTGTTACTATTCTCCCTTCCACGGCCCCTAGAGAGGAGGAGAAATCATGCAGCGATCAGTCTCACAGCCAGGGGCTTTGAGGGGACTGGGTTCGTGTGTTTTCGAACCATGGGTTCTCCCGTCCCTCCTGCCATTCCCTCGTGTGGACAATGGCTCTTTCCAGTGAAATCCACTTAGAGAGGCTCTTCTCTCCCCCAGCTCCTCCCTGCACCCCTTTCCAATCTTCTTTCCCCTCCAACACCTCTACTCCGATCCAGACCACCCCCCAACCCACCCCCATCCTTCCACCACCTCTACTTCCACTGTGTGCTTTTGTCTTTCTCCTCCCGCCCCACTGAAGGGGCATCAAAGCCTCCCCCCTCCCTAGGAGACCTCAAACTAGAGGGAGCTCCTTTTCCACATCATGGTCTCAGCTACGGCCCAGAGGGGCCGTTCTACCCTCTCCTATAGGGTTGCTACGAGTGGACAGAGACTCCGTGGCGGTGAGTTTGGTTTGCAGTTGAGCTGCATTGCACGCTTAGCACTGTGTTCGATCCCTGCTCATTACTCTATGAACGCAGTACTTCACTCTCTTAGGAGAGTCTGCTGAAACATGACTCAGCGGCCAGATCATGGGTTATTTTCATCTGCTTATATTTGATCACCCTATTTAAAATATACAGTATACTCGTGTATAAGCCGAGTTTTTTAGCACATTCTTTAATGCCGTCTTGGTGGGAAAATTAGGTGCCTCGCTGATATTCGGGTTGGATCATACTCGGGTATATACGGTAAGCTCTTCATCAGCCAACACCGATTCTTCTAGTTTGAGGTTTGTTTTGGGTTTGGTGGCTTTTTTGTATCTTCAGCAGTCAAGTTCTTCTCTGGGTACCATATTCTTTGAAATAATATCTGAGTCTTTGGGTTACTTAAGGAGCCTTGGTGGCCCAAGAGTTAAGCCGCAGTTGCTAACTTTGAGCCCACCAGAGGCTCCCAGGAGAGAGACCTGATGACCTGCTCCCACCAAGATGACAGCCTAGAAACCCCCCTCTTCCGGGGAGGTTCCACGCAATCACAAGAGCTCCCTGACTTAAAAACATCAACTGGATGGCCTCTAACAGCAATTGATTGGTTATCACTTAGGGGAACTAAAATACAATAATAATAACGACTTTCAACAAAATCAAAAAGCCCAACTAGAAAGACGTTTTAGGAAAAAACTGTTTCTCTCAGACGAAATCACCTCACCAGCCCTTACCACAGCCAGTACACTCCGAACAGCCCCCAGCCCTTTGTGGGGGTGGGAGGTGGTGGTCAGAAAGCAACATGAAGTCAAATGGACACCATTTTAGGGTGCCTGTCTCCTTCCTGTCAGACACACTTGCTCCCAGTTGGGAATGCAGAAGGAAGTAAATTTAAGAGGGCCAGCTCTAATGGCCGAATGTCTGGAATGAGCCAGGAAAACCATTGTCATCCACCGAAACGACACCGAGGGTCTTCCTGGACCATTCCTGAGTTTCAATGCTCCAGGACAGAAGGAAGAAGGGGAGGTTGGACAAAAGTCTTCCTCCTTCGACCCTCGTCCCTTCTCCCTGCTTCTGCCCTGAGTGAATCAGTCAGGTGCCCCACCACCACCACCGCGCCACTCCCCACCCCAAAGGTGGGCCACGTCCATCGCCTGCAGGCCACATAGAGTCCTGCCTCCTTCTCAGCGATTCCCTTTTCTGGCCAGAGGGCACAGACGAAAGGAGTCTTTCCTCCCTGCTTCCCTGCAAGAGCCTTCTGCTCTCCATGCCGGGTCCCACCGGGTTCTCCCCTTCCAGGCCCCCAGCTCTCCTTCCCCAGGACCAGGGTAGAGTTTGAGGTCCTACCTGAGGCGGGAAGAGTCGCCTGCCTCAGGCCCTGGGCCCATATCACGAGGAGAAACCACTGCATGCTGCTGCGACAAGGTCTGCAGGAAGCAGCTGTGGCCTCTTCTGCCAGCGAAACAGACCAACCGCCGCTGGGAGGGTGCAACTCAGCCTGAAGAAAGGGGTCCTGGGAAAACCACGTTCAGCAAAAACCGTCCAAGACCCAGCTCGCCACAAGTACACCAACGACACCAACAGGGAGCCACAGGAAACACACTAACAATAAACAACTAAGAAAAGAAGTGTGGTGAGACCGACACTGGTCTTTAGTTGCTATTAGACACTGGATCGTTTTCAAGTGATGTCTTGGGGTTTCATCGCCCGTTGTCTAAAGAGCATCAAGACCTGTGTGCAATGGCTCAGCTGCTGAAGGAGAAAGGTGCCTGGGGCCCCATCCCCACCCCTGCCCTCAGCCTGCTGGGGAGGGGGCCCCCCACGGGAGGGTGAGGTTGGGACATTGGCAGGTCAGACACTGCGTTCATGAGTCAGGGCCAGTGAGCAAGAGTCATGATGTTGGAAGCAAGGTATGGCCGAGAGCGAGGTCTTCGACAAACAGAGCGAGTATCCCCGGAACAAAGCCCTCCCCTGGAATCACAGTGCTTCTGTCTGGTGCCCCTGGACCGAGCTCTAGTGTCATCTCTGTGGCTCAGCTGAATCGCAGGCGAGCGAAAGGGTTCGTTTTGTCTTGTGCACAGTGGAGAGCTGGGCGAGAGGGTTGGCCCCAGGAGTCTGGCGAGGGCGAGGGGAGGAATTAGTGACATTTATTTGGAGCTCCCAGCTCATCACCGGGTCCTACTGTGGACCCATCTTTCCTTCTCTGCTTCTTCCCTCCTGTCTTCTCTTTGGGGGTTCTCCCTCTTGCCCTTCCTCTTTCTGTTCAGTTCCTTTGCCTGCCCGGCAGCGTCAGGCTCTGGAGAAATCAGGATGACTCACCCTCGTCTCTGGCCTCAGAAAGTTGACTGTGACAAGTCCGTTCTCTGGTGAAGCCGCCTGCTGGGTAGAAGACAAGGAGCATTCACATTTATCTGCCTCTGGGGTTCTTGTTATTTGTTCTCTCAAAGCTGTACAGTCTCAGAAATGCCACGAGCAGCATGGCTGCCATTGGCTCATGGACATGGAGTGGATTCCAACTCATAGTGACCCTATGGGACAGGAAGGACTACCCCTCTGTGTTTCCAAGACTGTAACTGTGGGCGGGGGGTGGGGTGGGGGGGTGTATAAAGCCTCGTGTTTCTCCTTCAGAGCAGCTGGCAGATCCAAACTGCTGACCTTGTGGTTGGAAGCCTGTGGCAGTGACATCATCTCCTGTCAACTAGAGTGAAGGGGTGGAGTCTAGCCTGTCAGTTAGGTCATAGCCAATGAGGCCTCTGTGTGGGCATGGCCTTCTCCTGAGGATTCTGGGAACTCCAGTCTTCCTCCCTGGAGGTGAGACACACTCCCTGCTACACATTCCTATTGACAAGCCACAGGGAACTACACTGATGGAGCCAGAGCACTGGAGCTGGAGGATCCCCACGTGGAGATCCACGCCAGCACTGAGATGCTTCCACCACCACTGGATCCACAAGACTTTCCGCTCACTGGACTGCAATCTTCCTGCATTCAGCATCATTGCATGTGTTGTGTGAGTCTGAAGAGGAATTTATAGACTGGTATTGGACATATAGGCTAATATCAGACTTATGGACTTATTCTGGAGTGGGCAGGGATGTTTTCTTAATATATAAGTGCTCTTTGATATAAAGTTCTCTCTTACACACATATGCGTCTCCCTAGATTTGTCTCTCTAGTCTACCCAGACTACCACAGAGCCCAACCTGTAAGCCATGTGCACTATGAGTTGGAACCAACTTCATAGCAGCAGGTTGGATTGGGTCCGGGGGCGTTCTTGCTATTACTTGCCTCTCATGTGCCCCACAGTTTAAATCTTTAAAAGCTGCAACTTCTCGGGGGCTCGTGGACTGCTCTCAAGCTTGGGGTCCCACCCTTCCCTCCCAGTCCAACACTTGGATTTCCACGGCTTGCAAGCTCCTACCCTACTTCTCAAGTAGTTGCTTTCCTGTCGACCTTGGTTCTACCCATTTTTCACCCTCCCCCATGACCTATACAGCCCCAAACCCACCACAGCCCCAGCTCATAAGACTACATAGGCTATAGATCATCAATTTCTCTTTGCCTCCTTAAATCGCGTCCTTCAATGGAGACAGGAAGTGTACGGGAAAAGGGGATGTGGCCACTCAGGCTTCAGTAGCACTCAGGCAACTCACAGCCCTGAGAAACCACCTCACAGCAGAGTTAGCTGAGCACTGGGGTGGGTGGTCTCTCCACAAGCCCATGTGGAGAGAGCAGCCTCAGAAAATCAAAGACTCAACATGAAAGGAATGTCTATGATCTAAGGCTCATTAAGAAGACTGTGAGCTACAGGGCATGTTGGCAGAAATTGGGTCTCCCGGTGAATGCAAATTAGGTGAATTTGGGGGTCAGATGGGTCAACTCTTGTTTGGTCAAGCTCCCTTGGGTGAGGTGACTCTGAGGATCCCCCACAAAGGTTTCCAGGGGGTTCAGTGAGCTAGGGGAGACTTACTTTGCCTTCCCAGCTATGCAAATAAGACGGGGGCCCTGAGATAATTAATTGTGTCAACCTGGCCAATAAACACATGTGGGGTTAATTGAAGCGTGGAGGGATAAAAGGTGAGCCTCACCTTTCCAGTTCTTGGGCCTCATGCTTTCTGATGGTCAGACCAGGGTGTAGCTGCCTTAGCTAGTTCCCTGCTTTAGCTGGCAAGGCTCA